AACATTGAGTTTGAAGACAATCTGGGCTAGTCTAGAAAGACTCTGTATCAAAAAAAAATTACACATTCCAAAAGTGTCATAGTTAAAGAAAACTACCCCAACCGCTGGTCTGACTTTAAAACAAAACAACTCTTGACAAGAATTTTCCTTTTCAAGCATCCTGAGCAGTATGTGACCTACGCTCAGTCAGCCATGGCAGTGCACACTTGTACTCCCAGCACGTGGGAAACTCAGGCAGGACTCCCCAAAGTTCAAGAGACCAGTCTGAACTACAGAGCAAATACCAGACTAGCCTGGGCATCATAGTCAAAATCACATCTCAAAAGACTTAAGCATAGTTGCTTACGGCTGCTTCTGCATCTAGTGTACCTGGAGCTTCAGAGGGCTTTGCCAATCTCCACCTCCCATCTCTCCTTAGGAGTGCTGAATTACAGGTGTACACCACGGCACCTGACTTTTCCCAGGGTTATGGAAATGTCACTCAGGTCGTTGGGCTCATGCAGCTAGGACCTTCCCCCACTGTAGCCCAAAGCTATATACAATATCAACTTATTCAAAATACTGAAACTTAATAAATATATCAAAACTCTTGCTTTAATAACTTCACACTACATTCCAAATATGTAACATCAATGTTGGTAGTCTGCTTCTCATAAAAGACTCTCTTAGAACCCAAACTGCTGGATATGGTGGCCCACACCTACAACCCCACCCAGCACAGAACTCAGGCAGGATTGCCAAGAATTCCAGTCATGCTTGCCTGGCAGTGGTGGTGTACACGCCTTTAGTCCCAGTACTCAAGGCAGAGGCAGGCAGATATCTGTGAATTCAAGGTCAGCCTGGTCTACAGAGTTCCAGTCCAGTCAGGGCTATGCAGAGAAACCCTGTCTTGGAAAAAAAAAAAAAAAAAACCATGCCAGTGTATACTATACAGTGAGTTACAGACCATCTTACACTACAACGTGATGAGGACACAGGGTCAAAATAATAATAGTGAAATTTAAAAAGACAAGGGAATTGGAAGGAGAAATACTAGGGGCCCACTCCTTTAATCCTAACACTCGGGAGGCCATCCTGGTCTACAAAGTGACTTCCAGAACAGTCAGAACTGTTACACAAAGAAACCCTGTCTTGAAAAAAAAAAAATGCATACATGCACTTGGTTAAGAGCACTGGCTGCTCTTCCAGAGGTCCTGAGTTCAATTCTCAGCAACCACATGGTGGCTCCCAACCACCTGTGTGATGAGATCCAGTGCCATCATCTGGCCTGCAAGGACAACAGCAGACAGAGCACTGCACGCACAATGAATAAATCTTTTTTATGTAAATAGTTATAAAAATTATAATATTTTTCAAAGGTTTTTTAAAAAGCCACATCATTCCAAGTAAAATTGCTATGGTTTTACCATTTGTAACAAAACCATTTGACTGGCCTTAAATAGAAGATTCACCAAAATTACAATGCAAGCCTGAAACTGTAGTTATAAGCTTGAGTGTAAAAGCTGGTTTTAAGGGCTTTGAAAACTGAAGTGAGCTATGTGTGGGTGACACACACCTGTAATCCCAATACTTGAGAGGCAAGAGGATCAAAAGTTCAAGGGCATCCCAGCTAGGCTGGAGGTCAGTATGAACTATTAGACCTTGGGTCAAAAGAAAAAATATTAAGATGAAATCTGAGGGTGCAGGTGAAGTGTGTGGATATAGAATCTGGGGGTATAGCTCAGCAGTGGATTGCTTGCCCAGTAAAGGCTTGATCCTCAGAACTGGAATGCTGAACAAAAAATGTACTGCTACATCAGCAGCAGATAGAGATTTACCAATCTCAGAACTGAATATAAATCCTAATGAAGCCATGCAAAAAAAAGTGAGAAAAATTAATTATGCAGAATGCAATTCAATCTTATAAATCATTATTCAATTTAAAAGTATATTAGACCCGACATTTATAGTTGTTATTATTGTTATTGTTATTTTAAAGCTATGCAAGGAGCTGGAGATGGCTTAGCAGTTAAGAGCACTGGTTGCTATTGCAAAGGAGTGGGACTAATTCCTAGCACCCACATGACAATTCACAGGAGTTCTGATCCCTCCTCTGACTTTTGCAGGCACTGCATGCACTTGTTGACAGACACAAGCAGGCAAGCACCCACATTCACTAAACCAATCAAAAAGCAAACAACATACAAAATAATGTTCAATTCAGTGTCTTAAATTTGAAAATGTTATTGTGGACACCTCATCTGACATGATATAGACACATACATACAATTAATTACTCCCATTTCTTCCTACAGCACAGTGGGCTAGAAGAACTGTAACAGAGAAAACAATCTCACTTCAACTGGTAAAGTTCAGTACCCATCAACACAACACAGGAAAACAAGAACTGGATGCCACGACTCGAAGACTCTCCCTCCAGATTAGCAAGTCACTTAATGCTATCTCAAGAACTACCATTAGATCTGGCTACATTTGTCTTTATTCTGGTTTTCTCTTAAGACAGAGAAAGAGGGACAGGTGCAGAGGGGAATAGATATGACCAAAACAATAATTTTTAAAAAGATTTCTTGGGGCTTGACAGTGGTGGCACACACCTTTAATCCTAGAACTCAGGAGGCAGAGGCAGGCGGATCTCTGAGTCTACAGAATTCCAGAACAGCCAGGTTTACATAGAGAAATCCTGTCTCGAAAAATAAATGTTTTATTAACTTGGAGGAGAGGCCTGAGAGGCCCAATAACAATCCTAACCACCTGATGGGGGTAAAGTATGGACTTTAGCAGATCATGAATAACAAACCAAAGACTGTGTGTGTTCTTCATTGGTTTAGGTTTAGGGTGGAAGGTGTTTAGACTTGGTTTTTGCACATAAAAGCCTGTGGTTCCTGGCTGCCCCGAACCTCACCATGGAGACAGGGCTCAGCCTCCCCATGCTGGGTTTACAGGCATGTGATGATTCAGTATTCTTGACTTATCCCCACAAACATCTCCTTTAAAAGGAATGTAACATTCAGCACTGTGGTATGCACACTAACAATACTGAGCTGAAGGAAGAGCATCATTGAGTTCAAGGCCAGCCTGGGCTACAAAGTGAGATGGTAATCTCACTAGCAATCTTGTACTTTAATGAGTGGGGAGAAACATTTAGCAGGTCAGAACCAGATCTGTCAACCACAAAAACTCAGTTGGAAAGAACCTAATTGATCATCATAGAAACTTACAGAAAGAAAGACCACAGCCCTGTCCCAGTACAAAACTGGCCAGCTGTACTTCCCGGCTTTATGCTTGAGAGTCACTCTCCCGTCAGACAACTGGTAAGATTAAATGATCCATACATATACCCCAAACAAAACAGGCTGGAAAATAGTTAAGATGTTCGGCTTTAGGGCAGCATCCTTTTTAAGTTCTCATATAATCAAAGCAATGTTCTTCAGATTAAAATGAAGGGCAGGGGCCGGGCGTTGGTGGTGCACACCTTTAATACCAGCACTCGGGAGGCAGAGGCAGGCGGATCTCTGTGAGTTCGAGGCTAGCCTGGTCTACAGAGCAAGTTCCAGGACAGTCTCCAAAACAATACAGAGAAACCCTGTCACGAGAAAGAAAGAAGGGCAGGGATGAATAAATATAGTCCTTACAACCTAGGAGTCATTCTTGTGCCAATGATATTTTTGTTCACATTGATTCACTATAACCAGGACAACTTGTAATGATGGTTTGCATAGAAAAAGGAAACATAATGTACATGTAGGTAAAGGACAACTTGGAGACATCTCCTCCCAACATACGGGTCTCAGATCAAACTCACACTGTAAGACTTGGCAGCATGTGACCACCTCACCAATCAATCAGGAGAACTTTTAGAATTCTAGTGTTACTCTTCTGTCTATACTATTTCTATATGCACTACATTGTGAGGGTTCATCTTGACTGACAGTCTGATTGGACTGAGTAGCCACCAGTGCCTAGTGCACCGTACATCTGTGAGCTCTCTTCCGGAGCTGGCAAGTAGACAGCAAAGGACAGGCCTGTCCTGACTGTAAGTGGCAACATCCAATAGGTCAAAGGACCGGACAGAATGAAAGTGAGGGGGGAATCTACAAGTGCCAGGACAAGCTCTGGATCAATAAGTAAAGGAAATCAAGACAGGTCCCTAACTGATTGTGGGGTTTAGTCTAGTGGCTCCAACATAGGAAGCCGTGAGCATTCTCAGCAGGTGGCTGAGCAGTACCCGAGGTGCTGTCCTTTTTTCTGTAAACAGGAAAGGGAACATAAGAAAATCTTGTGGCAAAATGAATAGAAACAGCAGATAAGGAAGCAGCAAGGGGACATGAGTAAAACTGCCGCTCAAAGTTACCAGCTCTTGACCTAGAGAAGGCTAAAATTAGAAACAGAAAGTGGCACAAAAGTAAAAGACAGGAAAACAGCAAAGTAGATAAAAACCTGTTTAGAAAATGTACCCAAGGAGGGTGGGATTCAAACACCCAGGACTAAGCAATGACTGACAGGAAAATACAAACTTAGCAAGGCAAAGCACAACTGCTTTCTGGGTGATCAGGCAGGTTTTTGTATTCTCATTTTACTATTGTGATGTAACATTAAAGGTTAAGAACGGTCTGCACAAGCATCCTGGGGAAAAGGGCAAACATGGGTTGGGGCTGATTCCAGTTTGTTTTTTTGACAGGGCTCACGTTGTAAGCCCTGGCTGACCTGCCTCTGTGGAAACTAAAGCATGTACCACAATGCCAGGCAGATTCCAATTTTAACCAAAAACCTTAAAATATTCACACAGAGAGAGAAGCAGGCAGGGCTGCTATACCTCCTGTCCTCCACGGGGGGATAACATCCACCTATGTGTTCACTCAGCCAAATCCACTTGCTCGACCATCATTAAGCACACTAAGCACAAAGCAAGTTGAAGCCACAAAGCAGAAGGCAGAGCCTTCAGGCAGTTCAAGTAAAAAAGAAAATTGCAGCGATCAAGTCAAGGAAACTGCATGAATTACCTGGCAGCCCAGTCAGTGAGGTTCAGGTGGGAGCTTATTTTTACCGATCTCCGAGTCCACTGTTCAGCAAATCTTCTGATCCTAAGGACAAAAAAGAGGGGGAAGGTGAATTGTATTGTCTTTCTGCAAATTAAACATCAGTATTGGTCCTGCATGAATTATCCCCATCTCTCTCTTCAGCCTGAGAAAACCATCATACATACAGCCCTCCTCTGGGAATCCTGGTAGATGCCTTTTTGGCCATATCAATACTTGTAATTTTTATATTTAAAAAAAGAAAAGTTGGGCTGGAGAGATGACTCAGAGGTTAAGAGCACTGACTGCTCTTCCAGGGGTCCTGAGTTCAATTCCCAGCAACCACATGGTGGCTCACAACCATCTACAATTCAATCCGGTGTCCTCTTCTGGCATACAGGCAGAACACTGTATATGTAATAAATAAATAAATCTTTAAAAAAAGCTTTACAAAAAAAAAGTTAAGCTCTACATTCACAATGTGATTGTCATAAAAGAGAGCAGGGTTTACACTATGCACAACCACTCATGCTGATGCACACGAGAAAGGATCAGTCTGACTTCAAAACAGTCACTATGCTCATTGACTGCAATATAATGAAGGTTAAGTTTAGTCCTAGGCAGAGCCAACCTGAAAACATGAAAGGCACAATGAAAGCAACAGTCTTGGTTTCCCCAAACAGCCTTTGAAAAGCTAGCTTTCTTGCTGCTACCAGCACCAGAAGTTTATCTTCTCATTCTGCCTATATTCTCCTTTCCCTAGACACTCAGGGAAGGGGGTCTGGGGTGCAGCAGGCTGGTTACCAACCACTCCCTTGGATGCTGCGGGAGGGGGGCACACTTTGATGGGGGAAAGGGACATTGGACTACCTTCTCCCCTTGTTCTGTGAGGGAGGGGTAGCCAGGATTTGTCCCAACCTGAGGCGCCCCCTCTGGTTACCTATTTGCAGTTACTTTGGAAAAGGGAAGGGAAGGGTGAGCCAGCTTCCTTGTTCAAGAAATTTTCAATTAAATGCTTGCTCTGTGTCTACTGGATAAAAAACACTATAAAGAAATCATGGGCCAGGTGTGGTGGTGTACACCTTTAATTCCAGCTCTTGGGAGGCAGAGGCAACCAGATCTCTATGAGCTTGAGGCCAGTCTGGTCTACAAAGGGAATTCCAGACCAGCTAGGGATACAAAAAAGGGGGAGGGGAGGCGGAGGGAGAGGGGAGGCTGGAAGATGGCCTAGTGGTTAGGAACACACACTACTCTTGCAGAGGACCTGAGTTGGTTTCCCTATACCCTTGTAAGGCCACTCACAGCCACCTGTAACTCCTATCTTACATCTCTGGCCTCACTCACGGCACTCACATTCAGATATACACATAATTTTAAAAATTGGAATAAATGTTATAAAAATGAAATCATGGTGCCACCATTAACTGGGGGGAAGCAAACGCAGGCAAAACCAGGTACCAAAGTTTCTGAAACCAAAGTGACGTCCGTGATGAGCACTGGGTAAGACCAATGCCTGTGCTACGGGCAGGGATGAAGAAAAGTGGGAATCCTGAAGCACTATTAAATGAGACATTAAGACAAATCCAAAATCGTTTATCTCTGCCAAAAATAACTAGTGAAATCATGCAATCTCTGCAAATATTACCTGGATTCATAAGACGCCATGTTAATTCTTCACACTAAATGGCAAAAGAGAGAAGCACAACCATGTGTCTCCCAGAACTGCAAAGGCTAAGCAGGGAAGATGGCTAGGTCCAGACCAGCTGGGTTACAGAGCCAACCAAATCCTCTCACAGTCCCCTGTGAGGGCTTGCCAGCACGTACAACCCCAGGACCACCAACCCCAAGAAGTGAAAGGGCATAAAAAACACACCTTAAAGGATGTTTTCATTCATGTTCATGCATGTGTGTGTTTCCCTGTGCCCCATGAGAGAAATGTGGAAGTCAGAACAACTTTCACAAACCTGTTCCCCACTGTGGGCCCAAGCAAAACCTTTACTCATTGAGCCATCCTGCCAATCCAATAACACCTTATATAATATTGGCCATTTGCAACCATGCATCTGGTCTTTAATCTCAAAAGAAAGAGAGAGAGAGAGAGCAGGGAGGGAGGGAGGGAGGGAGGGAGGGAGGGAGGGAGGGAGGGAGGGAGGGAGGGAAAGAAAATATTGGTCATTTGTTAGAAGTATGGAAGGCAGGATACATAAATAAAATGCATAAAGGCAATATAAAGGCCTCAAAAGTGAAAGTTTGTAGCCCAGCACATCCCGGAAGCAAAGCCAGGTACTCTGCTCAAACAGAGACTATAGCCTGCTGTGGACTGGAAGGAGGGCAGTAGGGGAAGATGGTAAGTTAGAGCAAAGTACAATGGCACACATGCATGCCATAATGAAAACCAGTACTTGCATGTTAACACAACAAACATAAAATGTTGGATGTGGTGACAGACACAATTCCAGCATTAGGCTAGTCAGTTACACACACAGTGAGACCCTATCTCCAAAACTAACTACAACTTGTGAAGCCTCCCTCTTCTGCTTCTAAATCCCTAGAGACACTAAAGAGACCACAAAACCCTAGCGGCAGAGCTGTCTGAACTGGCCTCACATCTCCGACTGAGCTCAAGTTAGTAAGGATGTAGTTAGAAGGGAGTCAGCATGTCACAAGCTGCATGCAGCTGCTCGCTCGCCCCTCTCCTGTCTCCCCCACTCTCTCCCTCTCTGAAAAGCCTCAGAGCCTCGCAGGATCACACTAAATAAATACAGCAAAGGGGGTGGGGTGGGGTGGGAGGTAAGCAGGCTCCACCAGTAGAAGGCTTTCCACAGGAACTGGTACAGGGTCAAAAGTTTACAGTGGTTTCAATTTCACCTTTTAGCAACCAATCAGCAAACAGAGACTGCACTGACCCTCGGGCTGCAGGAGTATTAACTCCCTGGCTACCAAGGCTGCTGCTGTTCCTCTGAGGTCTTCTCTTAAGCAGGAAAAGTTTAAAAAAAATAAAATAAAAGCATCGAACACCCTAAATTCAGGTGACAACTGTATTTTAAACAGGGGTTTGAAAAGAAAAATGATTTGATAATTATCCTTTTTCTCCTTCAAGTCAGGGTTTCTTCATCTTAAGAGCATCCAATAAACCAATAGATAATGCTAGTAAAGACAAAGAATTAACCGGGGAAGATTGACGATTAAGAAAAGATTTTCCTCTATGAGGCTTCAATTCTACCAACAACCTGCAAAGATGCCAGTTTAGTTCCCTGTAAATGCTTTAAAACGAAAACTCGATAATGAAGCCCGTTCATTATAGTGCTTAGGCTCCACTCCCTCAGGTCACTGATACAAACTGCAGTGTGCAGTCCTTTTCACAAGGGGAGTCTAGAGAAATACAGCTAGAGCTTCTAAGGGGCCATTTGTTTCCCTGTATCCTTCTCTCCAAGCCCTTCAGGACCCAGCACAGCCCTCTACACAACAAACTGAAAAGGCCTTTCGGCAATATACAGAGCGGTCCTCCTGACTGCTTTTTATGTAAGTTTCCGGCAAATGCAAAAAAATCAATGTGTTAATCCATTCACTACTGTTGTCAGCATTCTATATTAACAATGAGCAGGAGCAGGGCAGGCAAGCAGGCAAGTATTTGCGTGCAAACACACACTCATGCACACTCTCCTTCCCCACCACCACCCCCATCAGAGGGATGCTGAAGCCCAGGAGCTTGAAGCCAGCGTGACTACCTAGGGTTTGATGCTTGTGTTGGGTTCTTTGTATTTGTTTTGGTTTTTGTTGTTGTAGTTGTTGCTGCTGCTGTTTTTAAAGGAATAGTTGAAGATGTGTTTAAAACAATCTCTCTAGAATTCCATGTCAGCCAGGGCTATACAGAGAACCCTGTCTTGAAAAAACAAAAACAAAAGTCTCTATAGTCCCCAGTGACTAAGAACCAGCAGCAATCTTCATGTCCTAGCCTCAAAGTGCTGGGATTACAGATGTGAGCCACTATTCCTTGAAGCACACAAGATAAAGGGGAAAACAATTGTACAAACTCTTACCGAAATGATCTACTGAATCCTAAATTTATAGATAAGCCAATTTATAGATAGCAATATCTTTCTCATTGATATACCAATTAGTTGAACTTTTGTAGTTTTACAAGCCTAGATTTGAGACCCATACAGGCACCACCACTGGCTACTAAAATGATCCCATATAGGATAGGTTTTTATCCATTTCTGAACCAACAGAAGTAAACATTATACAACAATGCCTCACTTACTGCCACAGGCCCAGAGCACAGCATACTGTTATGGCACAGAGCAATTTGATGTACAGGGTTCAGACCATGAGTAAAATCAATGATGATGTACATCTTTTCTCAACTTGGAATTATAACAAGTAATTTTCTACTAATAACTTTTAAAACGCAGGTTGTGCGCGTGCGTTTAGCTTGTTTTCTTTTTACAGGATGGCCTCATCTTTAAGGAAAATGCATGCGACAAAATTTTACATCAAGTCAGCATGTTAGCCAGAAGCTTTTGTGTCTGTTCTGAATTTGATTAATACAAGGCAAGGTCATTTCCTGAACGATGCCTACCACTGCAGCTGCAGGCAGACTAGCACGAGGCTGGGGAAGAACTGGGTGATGGAATGAAGAGAGAGATTCCATTTCCACAGTTATATACCAAGTTATATACCAAGATCCTGGTATATAAAGATGAAAAATATGTAATTCAATATGCACAGTGTTCATGTCAAAATTATATCTAAAATGTCCTTCTTGATAATATGCAAAAAATACTTTAACTACTTAGAACTACACAAATAATACCAGACACCAAACTAACTAGCCCTACAGAATGACCTGAACCTAGGGTGCAAATGCCTGAAGATACAGAGAACAGAATTAGACTCACAGTTCCTTCATCTGAAATCAGGAAAGTTCCAAGTCACAGCTAAAATCTAAAACTTTTATTACAAAACAATTCATAAAATTTTACTCTGACATGCGATTGAATTTTTACTCGTCAGCATTATGCAAATGTCATTGTTGTCAGAAATTCTCACAGTATAAATTAACA